GGGGGGCGCGTACTCCGGGTGACGCCGCTGCCGCCGCTGCCGCCGCCGCCCCCTCACTGCAGGTGGCAGCGGGAGCGCCGGGTCCGGGCGGCTCGGGGGCGCGGGCGGGCGCGCGCGGGGGAGCCCGGCCGAGGATGGGCTGCGCCCCCAGCATCCATGTCTCGCAGAGCGGCGTGATCTACTGCCGGGACTCGGATGAGTCCAACTCGCCCCGCCAGAGCAGCAGCGTGTCGCAGGGCCCCGCGGCGCCCCTGCACGGCCTCTTCGTGCAGACCGACGCCGCCGACGCCATGCCCCCGAGCCGCGCGCCCGGACCCCCGGGTGCCGTCCGGGTCCGCAGGGCCCGGGCCGAGCTGGGCAGCGGCAGCAGCGCGGGCTCCTCGGGCCCCGCGGCGACCACCTGCAGGGGCCGGAGGCGCCACTGCTGCAGCAGCGCGGAGGCCGAGACCCAGACCAGCTACACCAGCGTCAAGGTAAGTGCCTGGGCGGGCGCAGGCTGCTGGGGGCCCGCCCGTCCCGTCCAGCACCCGGCCGGCACCGGGAGGGGGTTCCGGCGGAGTTGAGCCGCCTTGACGCGGTCGATTGGGGAAGGGTGTCACCTAGGAGGAGTTTACTTTTCATTTGTAACGTGGTGAGGGCCCGGGGACTTGGCGAGGAAAAAGACCCCCGGAGGGGTTCAGGGGAGCGACCCCAGCTGGTCCTGGGGTGGGGGTAGGTGGAGAGTGGAGCGCAGTGGGAAGCAGTTAGGGCGGCCTGTTTCTCATCGAAGGAAGACAAGCAGTGGCCGGATGGATGCACTAGGAGGGATGGGAGTGCATCACCTAGAGCATGGAGTTCCTCTGAATGAAATCTGGGCTCCGAGCTGGATTTGCATGCCTTGTAGGTAACTGGTACAGACCCAGCACCAGGATGTCTGAGCGTCTCAGGTTCAGATTTGCACCTGAGAGAGCCTGCCCGGCTGGATGGAGTTCACAGCCTTGGGGCCCAGCGCAGGGATTTGTGAATGAATGAGGGTGTTTGTGCTCAGACTAGAGGTAGAGAAGGGATTAGGGGAAGAGCAGAGGGGGACCTGTTGTCATTTCAGCGTTTCTCAAGGATGACTACGTCCTGGACGTAATTGAGAAAACCCAACCAGAGTTTGGATTGCCAGCAGAGCCACAGTAAGGGGCTCCTTCTGCATGCCGGTTCTGCACGCACAAGCTCCCCTTTCAGGAGCCTGGGGTTGTGAGGAAGTGCAAAGGATTGTTTGAATGGCTAAAGCAGTCCTTAGTTATTTCTTGATGAAAAATTTATTTGAATAGTGCCCGTTTATGTTTTCAAAGCATTATTGCATCCAAGATGGTTACTTTGTGCCAGATGGGACACTGGCCATTTTCTTTATAGCAAACCAAAGTGTAGTGGCATATCTAACTGTTTTGAGGGGAAACAAAAACACATCTTCATAACTCCTTATGTTATAGACATAGCTCTTCCATAGCCAGTAGATTACCAAGAACCATTCCATGATTTCTTGGCAAAGACACGGTAGTTAAAAACCTGTTCGACAGTTGGCTCAGTGTGGGAAGGCTCTGGGTCTTCCCTGGGTGAGGTGAACCTGCAGTGGAGGAGAGGGGAGGTTAGCATGGGCTGGCCTCAGTAAGATCAAAAGCTGCTTTTGATGAACTTAATTTTTGTAAGAATGGCAACTCATTTTGCCACACAAGATTTAACTGATATTTATTAGCCATTGAGATTTTTCTCTGGGAATAATCTTGAACACCACCATTAAAAATATACCATTTGGGTGGGCATAGTGGGGTACAACTTTAATCCCAGCACTCAGGAGGTAGAGGCAGGAGGATCTCTGTGAGATTGAGGCCATCCCAGTTTACATAGCAATTTCTAGGCCAGTTGGAGCTACAGGGAGACCCAGTCTCAAAGAAAACAAAAATCCCAATTTAATTGAGATCTACTATACACCAAGAATAAGGTTCTCTTCTTTTGATTATTAATGGTGCAATGATAGCATAGTTTAGCCACAGACTAGAGACTTGAGTTCAATTACGTTTGTTACAGAGGCTCGCGGTGGGCACAAAAACACCAGAAATGTACTTTTGTTTATTCCTTCCGGGGTTCTATTGCCACTAGTCACATAAAGTTAGCATTAGAAGAAATTTCAAGGTGTTAAAAAGCTATATTTAGCAACATGCTTAAATTGGGATGTTGCAAGGAAACTTGAAGGCCTGAAGCAGTAGATGACTGCTCATGAACTCTGGTATTTTGTTCTGGTTGTTCAAGATGAACTGTATTTTTGCCTTTCAGAGTAGCAAGGAACTCATTTTAGTACCTGGCAACTCTAGCAACTCGGCGTTTGTTTAGTGAAAGAAAAAATAATGAATGAAACCATTTTTCTGTGTTTTCATGCTTTCCTCAAGAGGCTACTTAGAAACCAAATGCAGTAAAAACTGATGAGAAAATGAGTACCAGTTATTAGCAGCTGGTATAAACTTGTGTCAGTCTCATTGCTACGTAGCGTAAGTGTTAAAAAGACTTGACCTGGGTAGGAATTTAACTCACTTTGCTTTATCAACAAGATTCCCAAGTAAGAGCTTACCTTATCCCAGCCCATTGCTAGGGATGTTGTGAATAAAGGTGCTGCTTTTCTGATTCCACACTAATTTGTAGTACGTAGATCTCAGAAAAATATATTTGAAATTAGAGATTAGAGAGATAGTTATGCAAATCTTATAGAACTTTATCACAGAGCTGCCCTAAAATATTTTATATTATCTTTTCACCTCAGGCTCAATGTTCTGCTGCCTTCTTCGGTCTGAAAGTTCACCTGGTCTGTATCTTTACGTGGATAATTTTTGAAAAATTTTTACCTTCATTTTTAGAATAAGAATTCTTTTGCTTTATGAGTGTGTGGTAGTTGCCAGTCACATGGCTCCTCTTTTCTTTCTAACATGCTTAGATAGGAAAATAAAATCTTTGCCATTGGGTCCTACTTACAGTGTTGGTGGGTTTCAGTAGTTTTTTTCCTTCTTTGTACATCAGCTCTAAACAATATCTTCATTAGCTAGTTGGCTTCTGGTGAAAAAAAAAAGAATGTTTGATCCCTTTCTAGCAATAATTCATTTCATTAAGCTTTTAAAATGATGAAGCATTGTGATGTCAAACATGATGTCAACAGGAACCTTCTTGAATACCTAATTGGCAAAAAAAGATTATGAGCATTAATAATTCATATGCAGTACCATGATATCACATGGGTTTCCATTTCTGGTAAGGAGTTAGATTTGTCTCCCAATTGCTGTAAAAATGCAACTTCCTAGCAATTTGTCTCCCTCTTTCTTGCCCTTCTATAAACAGTACTCCAACAGGAGACTCCTGCACGATGCTCACTCCTGAGTGTGCCAGTTTTATATTTCTTGTTCAGAAATCCTCAAAGGGGGCTATTGAACTTCTCTTGGGGAGGAACCAGGGATTCTTACAAATCTTTTCTTGTACCAGTTGTTGCTGCTTGGAGTATCTGGGATTGAGCAGCCCATTGCAGCACAGACCTTATTGATAATACACTCAACTTGCTGCAGAGTCAGTGCAGGTGAGCTGTATTGTGTATTCAGCACGGGAGGTTGTCAGCTTCCTGATGACTCTGTACTGATGGCCAGCAATGCCAGCTCCTCTCATCCCCTCCTTTTGTCCTGTACATTTATTCATTCAGCAAGCATTTATGCCAGCCTCCGTTTTTAAGTGTTGGGGATTCTGGAAAAATCCACAAGATTTGATGAGCAAAGACTAGGGAGAAGGGTAAATCTCTTGCAAAGGGATGTGCTTAAACCAGCTATTGTTGACTTCTACAGTGTTCCATGGCATTCTAGAATCGGGAGCTAATACTGAGTTGTTGCTACATAAAAGGAAAATAAATATTTATATGACCTTATAGTAAATAATGAGATTTTATTAGGGAAGGGATTAGAGCTACTTTTTATAGTCATTTCTGTTTTTCTAAGCATGATTCTCAAACCAGAATCACCCAGAGAACTTGTTAAACTACACAGGTCTGGGCTCCACCCCTAGAGTTTCTGATTTCATAGGTCTTGGGAGGGACCTGAGAACTTGAATTTTTAACAAGCTTCTGGGAGATGTAGTGCTCCGGATCTGGGACCACTTGGAGAGCCACTGCTTTTAAATGAATTAGATTGTCTTATTGCCCAGACAAATTAGGTGCGGCTGCTTGTAGCAGAGTGAAGTATCATATCACTATGGTCATAGTCCTGCCCGTTCGTGGACTCAAAGCCTGAGCTGCACAGTTGGTTGGAGAGGCTAAGTGGGGAGAGTGCTGGACCACATGGCACACTCGGGTTTCTTGAGGTTGAGTCCCCTACACTATCCTCTTTTGTGTGGTCCTGTGGTCTTCCTTTCCCATCACAGTCTTTCAGCTGCCTCTACCCTATAAGGACCATGTCCCACACCATGAGAAATTGCAAGGCAAGGGACAGTCCTAAAATATGGTTGGAAGTCAGGTGATACAGCCAAATATTCTGTTCTCCATTCTTGGAGTTCTTGCTAGTCCTTTCATCATTTTTTATTTCCAAATAGTACATAGAATGTAGTAAGCTCCAGCGAGTCTCTTAATTGACTTTAATCAAACCCAGGTTTTCTTTCTGCTATTGAGTATATTTTCACAGTTCTGTCATCTCCCAACATACAAATTAGAGCCAGTGATCATATGTTTTTTCAGTGCTAGGACTTGAACTTAGAGCCTCACACATTCTAGGCAAACTCTACCCCTGAGCTACCTTCCCAGTCCAAGTGATCACATTTATTTGATTTTTATTACTTTGTTCTGTAATTACACTAATTTTAAGGACAATCAGGCGATTCTTCTTTTTGACTCTGTTGAATAAGACTTCAAACCAGAAAATAACACTGTGCAATCTCCTGGCTTTTTGGAGGTGAGACAGTTTCTACTGAAATCCTGCCCTGCTGACCAATCGACAGAGCTTGTGCTCCAGGGGGACAGGCCATATGGGTGAGGGCAGGGCAGATTCTGTGACACCAGGTTGGTGATGGGCCAAGAAATCTGAACAGAAAGTAGGGGGTGAGCCCCATCGGCCCAGACAGAAATGTAGAGTCTTGAGACTAAAAAACAAAGTTGGAGAAGAATAGGTAAAAACTTTGAGTCATATGGCTAAGTACAAACTAGAATTCAGGGGCTCGTCAGAGGTGACAGCCACTGAACTGGCATGAGACTTCTGATGGGGGAACATACTTTCTATTCTTTTGGGGCTCTGTGCTGGGCATGAAGAGGTTATGGCCACAGGAGCTACTGGCTCCTGTACTGGGCTGTAGGTAACCAGTGCATTTAGACAAGGCAGGGCCAGCCTGCCATACCTTCTGTGTTCCCTGATCCAACAGTGTCTGGGCAGCAAACAGAACGTGAAGAAATAATCGCATGAAGGGACTGTTTCACAGGTATTGTCAGGATGAC